AGAAAGATCTATACGTCCTAAAAAGCACGACAAAATAAAATAATAAAAACACACAAACCAATCGCACTGTTTACTCCGCCTCACAGGGTCGGCGCTATGGGTATAAGCTGCTGTCTCTCAAAACCACAGTCCCATCTGTCGCCTCAGATCAACTGCACACCATGCAGAAGTGAGAAGCGATCTCATAGACAACGTGTTGTTCCCAATGTGACCTACCTGGTTCACAAACCCTCTGTTGTGGTCAGTGCAGAGCATGGCGGGGCTGTGAGGTCGGGGGTAGGATGCCCGATAACTCCCCTTAAGTAGGTGAGGAAAAACGAGAGGCTGAGGGCTCCGGGCCAGAGCCCAACTCCGGACGGAGTCAGAGAGAGGAGGGGGGTCAGCGACGGGCGTGGGGCCGTCGGACGATAGAAAAGGAAAAAAATGAAACGGTTCTCCTTCGACGCTCTTCTCGAGAAGAAGGATAAAAATAAATAAAAGCCAGGCGAGAAGGCGACGTGAACACAGAAAAGAGGAGCTGGGAGCTCGGCTCGGCTCCGGCTCTGCCTCCCGACTGCTTTCATCCAAGGCTGCATCAAATGTTTCTGACAAGCCTCCATCCTCCACCCCCCCCTCCCCCTCCCATCCCTCTAGAGAGATTAGCGCGCTGACATCACGGATGCTTCTGCTCCGCTGAGCCTCATAGTCGTGTGGCTCTGTTACCTAAGAGGAGCCTAAGGTCGCGGAGGGAGTCAAATAACAGCGTCCTCGCACAGACCCCCGCTACCCCCCCCCCCATTGTATATGAAGGCTGCGTGAATGAAGTATGTGCACTTTTGAGCGCGACCTACCTGGTCTGTCCGGCTGTGGTGCATCGGGGAAAAAAAACCTGCGTTGTGAGCTAGAAACGGATTCGGAGGACCGGCTGTTTATGCCGCACCGCCTGCCACAACCACACCGTCTTTGCGGTTCCACTTTGTTTTCCCGAACGCGGAGACGACATGCGCGAGGTGAGGATTAGACGCAATAATCATTTTTTTCTGGACTCCCCCCCGTGTCTCACCATCTGCTACTCACACATTCTCAACTCAGCGGTACCTCTGTGCCCTCAACACCTCCCTCTTAAATATTAAAAGGAGAGAAGACAGGATGAAGTGAGAGGACAGGAGACGAGACAAGAGGAGGCTAGTGGAGAGAGAAGAGAGGGGAGAAGAGGGCCTCCTGGTTGCACAGTTGGATCCGCCCAGGTTACCAGTGGAGCGCAATGCTCCATCGGACACGCCTCCGTCCACCCCCCTCGCTCATCTCGTCCGGACCTCCCGGGCTGATCGCCCGGACGGCACCCTTACATCACAGTTGTAAATTTAGGGCCGCGACCCTCAAGTCAGATCCGGGTACCGGTAGGGGTCAAGTTAGGGTTGGCCAACAATTCATATCACGGTATTTAGAAAGATTCTGACGGTATCCCGGTATGTGACAGAACACATTAATTAATTGACGCCAAAAAATGGACCGCCGGCCAGCCAATCAGCTGTTAGCTTGTTAGCGTGTTAGCTTGTCGTGGCTGCTAGTGTTGCCACCAGAGAAAATACCAGTGTCTCAACGACCTTTGCAATAAATCGTTATCTGATCTGATTTACTTCAGATTTTTCAAAGCCAAAAACCATCCGAACAGACTTCGCTCCTCTCTTGCGCACAAGTTGTGTTGGTGCATCTCTGGTCTCTCGTTGTTCCTCCTGCATCACTCTCTTCTGTGTTTTCATATAACAGCGTTCCTTCTATTGTTCATGCAGTTCGCCGGGGTAATTTTATAAATGTACAATTATTAGTGTTACTGTTAATTGGTGATTTGCCCTGTTAAAGAGTGTTTGTTGTGGGTTTTTCAAAGTGGTTATAAAAGTTATAACCATGACTCAATCTCAACTCACGTAAAACAAGTAGCTCCAACCGCTGGGTAATCCTCCATGACTTGTAAAAATAAATTGTGCCGCCCGCCGAAGAGACACATCAGTTGTTACGGCGTAATACGGGTATGAACGGTAACTTCATACCGTAAGGAGATCTTATACCGGTACACCGCCCAGCCCAAGGTCAAGTCGAGACGTTGTTCTCTGTGACTACACGACTACGGTAAGATAGAAAACCAGCTGATCAGAAGCCACCGGGAGCAAAGACAATTAGGTAGGAGCCCTCGGACGTCACCGTTTGCTTCACAGCCGGCTGATGCAGCGTTTGCGTGTCTTTTTACCCAGCAGACACCTTGTGGTCTTAATTGCTAATTGATGAAAAAGCTGCGAGTTAAGCTGTTCAATTTGCAACCGTCAGTCAGGATTGTTCCTCAGAGGGTCGGATGTTGGTTCCCCCGAGCGAGACACTGAACCGTAAGCCGTTTCTAACGTACGAGGTCTGAACGTTGTGTGAATGTTAGTCCTCATGGTCAGGTAGGCTGATGCACGCTAGGCCCGCTCACTGGTAAATGAATGGGTGTGAACGGGTGAATGATGTGTCATGGTAGGGCTGTGCGGTCGGGCCAAAAATCCATATCACGGTATTTAGGAAGATCCTGACGGTACGCCGGTATGTGACAGAACACATTAATCAATTGACCCCAAAAAGGACCGCCAGCTACCCGATCAGCTGTTCGCCGCTCGCTGGCCAACTCGCTCGCAACTGGCCGGCTAGTTAGCTTGTTAGCATGTTAGCTTGTTAGCGTTTTAGCTTGTTGTGGCTGCTAGTGTTGCCACCAGAGGCTCGACAGACTTTGCAATTAATTATTTCTGATCTAATTTACGTCAGATTTTTCAAAACCAAAAATCCTCCAAACAGACACAGCTCCTCTCTTGGACGCGAGTTGATATTGACGGGTTAATTTTATAAATGTGCAGTTATTAGTGTTACTATTAATTGTTTATGTGTCACAAGCTGTTGTGTTGTTTTACCCTGTTAAAGACTGTTTGTTGTGAGTTATTCATTGTCAATATAAAGTTGACTCAATCTCAACTCACGTAAGACAAGCAGCGCCGACCGCTGCGCGCTACTCGATGACGTCTAGTAATAAATTCTGCCGCCTGCCGAAGAGCAACGTGAGTTGTTACGGCGTAACACCGGTATGAATACTGATACCGGTATACTGTTTGAACCGGTATGTCGCCCACGCTAGGTCATGTCTAAACAAACGCGGTCCGTCTACCATTTACTGCCATTTGACATCTTGACTGCTTATTTCTTCTGTTGTTTCTATCCACCTTCACTCTCCTCCACACAGAGTGAATATGTGCATTTGAATTGACACACCAATGATGGATTAGTGCAGGAATGAGCATTATTGGCACTTTTTGTTCACTCATCGCAGAGTCAAAGTTTTTGTTAATGCGATTTTGGTTAAAGGCCCAAAATAAAGTCTTTGACTAACACAAGTATAGAAGAGGTTATTGGTAAAAACTTGTATTTGACCATGTGGCCCACTGGGACTACTAAACATCAACTAATTGGTCTTTAAAATCTGCGTTGTTCCTCGGGCTAATTATTGCCTTACTTTAGCTTTTTACTTCTGCTGATTGCATTCAACCTTCAAAAAAATCATTAAGGTGGTGTTACTTTGTGAAGATTGCTTTGCGCTAAAACAGGATCGATAGAACCCATGTGACGGTAACTTCCTGCTGGCCTGCTCAGCTACTAATACGCGTATATTATTTCAAAGTGCTGAGCTACTTCCTGAAGTCAAAAGCTTTCAAACCCAACAAACATCCAGCAGACCCGAACACCGCGCGTCCAACTTTGCAGATATAACAACAAGGGGAACGAGAAGCTCATTCTTAAAAAATAGTTACCACTGTAGTAATCAAACAACAAAAAAGGTGGAGAAAATATCAATGTGTCCTCCCAACATTTAGGACAGTAAAAATCCGAAAGGCAGCAGCCGTAGTTTTCTTTAAGTGGAGGACTGGCTGACACTTTGTGCCCCGTCCTGTCCTCGCTGTGGCTCACGGCCAACGGTTGCGTAAGCAATATTTTCTCAGAGTGGATGACATGCATTCAAACTCTTCTCCACGACCGACTCGATTGTCTCCCGTTACACTGCCTGCCCGGGCAGCTCCACCAAGCCGCCGCACTTTCCTTCCCATTATCTGCCATTATTTATTTAGCCGGCCGCCTCCTCGGGCCGCCAGTTGCATAGTGACACCAGTGACGATTGTGACAAAAAACCACTGCATGTGCTGGACGAGCTGGCTAATGAAAGTTATAAACCCAATACAGCTGTCCAACATTACTGTAGATTACAGATTATAGGAAACATGGATTAACAGCTAACTGTGATCACATCCGGAAAGTAGAGCGGCATGGAGGAAATCCACCTAATCTTTTGTCACTTCTTCATTATGGGGACTAATGGTGTAGTTTGTCCTACCGGTGCCACTGTAGGAACATGGCGGACTCAGTTTGGTAGGGCTCATTCTAAACTGAATACTTATTCCATTCATGCTAGAGCCCCTAAAATGCTACGCATTATACGCCCTATAAAACGCTCTGGTAAAGTAGGAACTCACGCATTTATTGAAATAGTCAGGGATCAATGTATCTTTGGTGGACTTGCTCATGCATATCTAACGTGTTACAAGGGGCCATGCTGGATCCACAAGATCCCGTATTGGGGGTCACAATCCACTATGGTTTGGTACCACTGACCGGAAGTCTCGACAAAAGATCTGTCGAGGACAGGACTAGGTCATTCAAACCCAACACTGTCACATTGTCACCACATATATTAAAGTAAATATTATAAACAGTCCCCCATCCTGCAGCTTTTGGAGTCATGTTTGTGCCACTGAAAGCCACACTGAGGAGGCCTAAATACCCTGTGACTTGACCTGTGAGATCGTCGGCCTTGCCCTTTGTGTTTATGGATTTGTGGTTCTGTAACAAGTGTATCCAACCGAGTTACCGCAGTTATAACTGAGCAGATCATGTGATGTGCCCCCCCCCCCTCTTATTCAGATGAAGAGAACGGGTCGTGTACTCACCACATTTTCTTGGGAACTTTGCTCCTGCAAATAAAGAGAAACAAACAAAAAAGAAACATCAGGACAAAAGCAGGGCATGTGGACACCTACCATAGGCTCATGTAATAAAACCGTCCTGTGTGAGAGCGACAGGGGTCTGACATGACGTCATCCGGCGTTAAGCCCACTCCTCTGCTGTGACCTTGGGAACATGCTAGGATCACATTATGTACTGAGGTGTGTCTGAAATACCGAATCACCACAAGACAACACCTGACATACTCATACGCATCCTGGCGGAAACCATGACAACGCGTGGGCTCAGGGAGGGGGGGGGGCATGCGGAAGCGTCAGCGTGAGTTACAACGACAGGGAAGCAACCGCATCGAGACTGCATCAGAGTGGGGGTCCGCCCCCCCTCTTCACACCACATCAGCCCCATCCGGCTCCACTGTGCGGCGTAAAGCTGATGGGACCCTGTTTTCCTTCTGTCGCGGTGGATCGAGTGACCGATCACTCATGAAATACATGTTGCGCTGGGCTGTAAAAAAAGAAGTGCGTATAGCCGCACACAAACACGGGCCAAATGGGCTTATGGGTGATACGATCGTAATGATCCAGGTGAAGCTCCTCGCAGAAAAGATGGAGGGACGGTGCGGCCCGATGAGGCGCACACCTCCCATCGGCGAGCCGTCTGTCAACCGACAACAGCGGGTTTTCATAAGGGAACCGAAACCGGGTCCAATCGCGGACCATTTACAATGGCGGAAAAAGGCCAAATGCGAATCGCTGTAGGTGATGACTGAAGCTGCCGTGTAGCACCGTGCCAACCCGCGCGGAGGCGTACGCGTCCGTGGGTTCTGGATGCACTGCACACGAGAGTGCGCTACGCTGCGCAACCGGTCCAGCCGGGCCGCGGCGCGCGGGGGCGAACCCCGGGGGGGGGCCCGAAATGTGGGCCATTTGGAGAAATGTCGAAGGTGTGAGCGCACACATCTGTGAGACGCTTCCCCTTCGGTGCTCAAATCTCACGACGCGTTACGGCCGACACCTCGGGTGCAAACGTGACATCGAGCACAAAGCCGCGCGTGCACTTACCGTGGGTAAGAGCGGCTCCATCTGGGCTCCTTGATCGGTGATGTCCATCTTCTCTTCTCTGTGCGGTCTTCCCTTTCTCCTTGGCTCCTCGACAGGCGAGTCGTGACGCGCTGCTCCGCTGCTGCCGAACGCTGGCTGAAGACTGCTCTCTCTTTTTATTTCCTTCTCTTTTTTTAAATGAAGTATTTAAAAACCCAAACACCGCCGCCTCACGTTCACCGGCCGGGTTTTCTCAAATGGAGATAGCGCAGCATTCCCGTCCTGACCCATTTACGCACGAAGGAGGGAGGCAGCGCTTCCTATTATCGCACGCGTTCGACCCCCGGACGACGAGGCGTGTGTGTGCGTGTGTGCGTGTGAGAGAGAGAGAGAGAGAGGGAGAGAATTCATCTGCGATGACTATCGCCGCTCCGCATAAACAGCCTCACAAACAGCCACAGACGCGAGGGTTTCATTTAGTGTACCTGAGTGAGAACCCCGTTCATTTGGAAATCTTTAAAAATGGGGCCAATTAGGGATTTTGAGTTGTTTGTACCGATGATTGATGCGTACCATTCAAACGGTTTGTTTCGGACCTCTTTGTATGTAATCCCGCAGAGGCAGCAGCAATCACTTTTGGATTTGGCACGCAAATGCCTTCTTTGATGTGGCCGAACAATGTGCACGTTCACAAGCGCCGCTCCCTCCCATCCGCGACACAGACACACAAACATCGACTCCTGCGTCTGGACTCCGTTGCCTGCAGATATCCCTGCAATTCTGTGATGAAGCATCAAAGGCTTCTTGGGGAACACGACAAACAACCGGCTTCAGCGGTGATGCACGGGCCAAACACTAATTCTGGCTCCCTGCAGAACCACACGAAAAGAGGGCTGCTGCTGCTCCCGCGAGGACAACGATGACAACGACGATGATGATGATGATGACAAAGGTGCGATGGCGCCCTCCTGTGGCGAAACACGCGAAACGCAGAGTTAAGACGCAATTGGCGCTGCAAGAAAGCATCGTTTGGAGAGTTGGAATCACAGAGGAGTACGATGTCTGTGCGATGTCGTAGTAAAGTGTCAACAAAATAAAGTGCGTTTAAGTGTGGGGACGCGTGCCTCACGCGCGTCCTAATGGCCATTTGGATATCTGGACCAAAATCACCAGATCGCAGGAACCAATTAGCGTTTTATCAGACGAGATTCTGAGCCACAGAATCGACCTCTCAAGGTATAACCGACTCCAAAAACTTTTTTTGGGGGGGGGGGGCAGACCTCGGTATCCACCTGGCACCACCACTGATGGAGCAGCGCTGTTGTTGATCCGGATCCGCCCAGCCAGGCGTCACAGCACCGACAAGATGGCCGAGAGTACGGGACGAAAGTGAGGGAGGAAACAAAAACACGGGCGAGCTATTCTTGCCGCGGATGCCCCGACCCGGAGCGCGGCTGAAAGGCTGAAAGGCAAGTTAGCGAAAAAAAAAAAGCGCGCAGTGCCGCCGGTGGATTCTAGGGCGCCTTCTTCGGTGCGTGACGTTTTCGGCATGCGGACAAACGGTGCTCCGAGCCGGCGCGCTGACGGGAACCTCCGTTGGGTTGTCTGCGTCGGCTAGCTAGCCGACGAGCTAACCATGTTAGCTAGCTGACAACACCGCTGGCGCGAGAGAAGACGCGTTCACTTCAAGTGACAGCTGGGTCATTTTTAAATAAACAGTCGTCGCCACTTCGCTTCTATGAATTAAAGATAATGCGTTGCGGCGGGAAAGCTTCCCCCGAGTGGGAACGCGGATTTAACAGCTAGCGCTTAGCAACCTAACATTGCGGATTTCTGCAGTTAGCATTAGCAGACGGCTGTTAGCTTGCTCAGCTGTTTTTTTTTTTTTGTTGTTGATGACTTTGGGTCGAAAACGCACAAGAAAAGGTGCGTGTGGTGGGTGGGGGGCGTTTTTCTCTCCGCATAGCGGTACCTGAGGAGGCTCTCGGCGTGACCAGGTGTCCGGGGGAGGTACGCTGACATTACCGGTACCGCCGGCAGGGACCGTAACCATAAGTCGACCCGAGGAGACGCCGGCCCCGCGTTGTTGGACGAGGCGCAGATCCAGCCAGCAGCAACCATGGCGCACTCTCCGGTCCAGGGTAACCTGCCAGGGATGCAGGTAAGCCACACGTCTTTTACAATCCCCCAGACATAAAGTTAGTCTGGGTCAACGCTAAAACAAGATGTACACTATTTATTTTTGGGGGGGCTCCCAGCTCCGGGTTCGCTTCCCTATGTGCATCTCGGGTAACGTTAACTTCCACCTCGTAAAAAGCTCACTCTCTCTCGGGGCCGTAAACTCTTCAAAGCTCACAATGCACCCATATTAATGCTGCAATGGGCTGAATGAATGGGAGGGAGGAAAAAAACAAACACGTCTCGACATAAAATACCAAACAACACAAACGTGAGTGGAGGATAGACACCGTAGCGTGTATGCGACGCCGGACCAAACGTCATAACCTTAACGCCCATCTCCGCTTTGGCGTCCTTTAGCATATTGACACCCTGCCACCGAATGTCACATTTTTGCGACAGAAGAATGCGCAGTGAACGCAACGCGAACTCATCCGGGACTTCAGGTCCCCCGTATGGAAACTCTCAAGCACACGCGCCTTGATTTAGCCACTGCCGCTATCTTTAGGGATTTGCCCAGAGGGGATCATTGTGTTGGGAAGATGACTAGATAACTGTTCTTAATGCAAACTGCCTGGCGCTCCAGATTGGCTTCCCCTTCGCAGATTGCTCTGCTTGGGAAGTAAATGCGTGCAGACTCAGAATCTGGGAGAGCTGCGGGGAACAAATGGCATAACAACTAAGAAATAAATTGTGAAGAAGTTGGTCGCTGGCAGTCAGGTGACGGTTGTTCTTAAAGGACACGGAGGCAAGTGGAAAGTTTTAGCTGGTCAGCTGATATGCGATGCAGCATTTCAGAAGGCCTTTGAGTCTGGTCCATACCTACCAGTGTAAGATTTAGATCTGCCAGCAAAAGCTCTTATTCCAATTCCAAGCCTTGTCCCTGAAGAAAGTATTATACTGTTGTAACACGACATGAGTCATCACTTAATCACCTCCGTCCACACTTTCCATTAGTGGAATCACCGTTTAGATGCTCAAATGAATCTCATTCAACCTAAAAGGGTCTTTGTTGGTGACACAAGGAACTCTTTATTTTCTTGTGTTTATATAAGGTGGCTGTTTCTTTTTTAGCTATCTGAAAAAAGGCATATTGACCCGGTCTCTGCTCTGAAAAGGTCATAAATAGGAAATGATTTTTGCTCTTGTGTTTTCCTCACAAAAGCCCCCGGCGGGCTCACTTCCGGCAGGGTTTCTCTTCTGTAGTTTCTGGAGGGTTGGTGGGACAAAGAAACAGACGTTTGGAGATTTGCTGGTGAACTAATGCTGCGTTAACACCAAAAGCAAAGCAGATTTTCACCACGCTTTACTCGCCCGACTAGTTGTAGTTAATCCGCCTTCGCTTCAGAAGTGCTTGTCTCAGTAAAGACGGTCATCATGTCCGTCATCCACCATGGACATAAACACTATTTCTGCTCTGTACTTGTTGTGGAAACTACACAAACGTCAGACACCAACTAACTTGCAGGCGTTCAGTCTGCGCTGCCTGTCTGCGCTGAGTGGCACTTAAAGTGTCATAAAGTGTATTCAAGCTTTGGCAGCAGGACGGCGGTGATGACGAGCGGAAGACTGCGTCGGGGGAATTTATTCCATTTGCTTCGCCTTTTCGCGTGGCGTCTTTCGCGGCCCGTTGAAAATTCCCCTTCCGCTGCAACCATTTCTCGCCTGTGCATTCACTTTGCATGGAATCCACTCGCGTGAATAGTTTGCTTCGCTTTTGGTGTGAACGCAGCATCAGATGAGATAATAATTTCACAGATCAATTGAGAAACAAATTAAACATTATTTCAATGCTTCCTAACCTGCCTGTTATCCAACTATTACACTCTTTCCCTTTCATTCTCCTTTGTGTCCCTCTCTGTGTGCACAAACAGAGCGAGTGAATTAATGTATCCTGTAAGAATGCCTCCCCTCAACCCACCCGCTGGCGTTTCCTATTTACTCCCCCCGGCATTCAGTTCTTTTTCAAACATTCCCTTTGCATGTTTTGAACTCTCTCTCTCTCTCTCCCCCACTTTCCTGTCGCCGCCAGAACACCAAGGCCGACCCGGAAGAACTGTTCACCAAGCTGGAGCGCATCGGCAAGGGCTCGTTCGGCGAGGTGTTCAAAGGCATCGACAATCGCACCCAGAAGGTGGTGGCCATCAAGACCATCGACCTGGAGGAGGCCGAGGACGAGATCGAGGACATCCAGCAGGAGATCACCGTGCTGAGCCAGTGCGACAGCCCCTTCGTCACCAAGTACTACGGCTCGTACCTCAAGGTGACGCTTGTGATGGCGACCGGGTTACGGTCTGTGGCGTGCAGTAAGCGTTAGTTCTGCGAGCCACAATGGGAGGGGAGGATTGCTCTTTGTCCGCCCACCTCGTTTCCCCCGGAAATTGTAAAGCGGATTGTGGGGTCATCAGGACTCGTTTGCATCTCGCAATGAATCCATAACAAATTAAGATGAGTCATCGGCGTCCCCCCGCGGCGCTCACCGTCCTCGCTTCTCTCTGTCTCCCCTGTCCCAGGACACAAAGCTATGGATCATCATGGAGTACTTGGGCGGAGGCTCGGCGTTGGATTTGGTAGGTGCACGCCGACGTCGGTTCGCCCTTCTATGCCTTTGAGTTAACGATACAGAAAAGTTTTTGTCATTTTGTGGGCTTCCTTTTGAGTAGCCTGAACATTTGTCACTCTTGCGTCCGAAGAAAAGCATTCTTCACATTTCAAATTGCCGACATCACATTTTGTGTCTTCGCTTCATCACGTGAAGAATGCTTTTTGTCTTCTCTCGATTACTGTGTACGTTCCGAGGACATCAGCTCCTGCCAGCCTCTCCGGAAATTAAATTGCACGCAGTCTTTTTCGCAGTTGTTTGGCATGTTTAATAGTAAGACGGGGAGGAAGAGGAAGTATGGAAGGAAAAATGATTTAAGATACAGACGAAGATCAGGCTTTCAAACAACGTGTCAGAAATGTTCTATGTCGGTTTGTTCCCCCTCCAAAGATGGAACCCGGATGCCTGGACGAAACCCAGATCGCCACCATCCTGAGGGAGATCCTCAAGGGGCTGGAGTACCTGCACTCTGAGAAGAAGATCCACCGGGATATCAAAGGTAGCCGGGCGGCCTGGGAGCGTGCCGCTGTCAGAGGCCGAGGGCTTCCAGCATCACGGAGCACACACAAAATATCACGTAGTGCCTTAATGGTATTGATGTGCGCTTATGAGTTTCACTCATTGTGGAGGTTGTGTTGCATGGGGGGTCAGGGGAGGTGATTGAGGTGAACGCTGCAGCGCTTCAGTTAAAAGGCTGCTGACCGTGGTCAGTTTGCAAAAATAAATCGGCGAAGCAGATAGATGCCGCCTACGTAGGAGGCATGTGTACGTGTGTGTGTTCTCTGAGCCGCATCACGCCATCCTTCCATCTGTCCCCCCTCCCCATCCCCACAGCCGCCAACGTGCTGCTCTCTGAGCAGGGGGAGGTGAAGCTGGCGGATTTCGGCGTGGCGGGGCAGCTCACCGACACCCAGATCAAACGCAACACCTTCGTCGGCACGCCCTTCTGGATGGCCCCCGAGGTCATCAAACAGTCGGCGTATGACTCCAAGGTGAGGGGGGGCGGGGTCTCGCTGTACGCTCCGCGTGTGTTTCGTCAGGTTGACTGGCAACAACGGTGTGCTCACAGTGGTACGGCGTTCGGCAGCTAGGGGCGGGGCTTAAGTTTCCACCGACGGGCTCTCTGAGGTGTAACCTCAGCTCAGACGGCTGAAGTGAGTTGCGCTTGCAGCTTTCCGCCGTGCACGTGGAAAGCCTGCCGCGTTGCTATGGCAACAAGCAACCGTGAGCTGCCCTTCGCCAGTGGATCCCCGCTTCTGTTCCGTTGCACGAGCCTGATCCGGTTTCCATTTAATGCAATTTGACTTAAACAGCAGACGAGGTCGGGGCGACAAAATGACAAAAAAGTGGAGTTGCTCTCAAGAGAGGAATAAAACTGCGGCCCGGTCGGCATTTTGGAAGCCTCAAATTCAGCAGACCGGTCAGATGGTTGACCACCTCAAACCGGGAAGAAGGCGTTTAGAGCGGTCCAGCCCCGGCCACCCGTCTGCATAGCGGCATGTGTTTAAGCCTCTTTTGAGATGCCGTAAACCGTATCAAACAAATGGGACTAAATCTCACCGTCCCTGAACCCGCTCAATAACCCAGTGGGGCTTCATTCCTCTGGAGCCATTTCCCCTCTTTCATGTTTTTGCCTCTCCGTGCATCTCCAGGCCGACATCTGGTCGCTGGGTATCACAGCCATCGAGCTGGCGAAAGGCGAGCCGCCCCACTCGGAGCTCCACCCCATGAAGGTCCTGTTCCTCATCCCAAAGAACACCCCGCCCACGCTGGAGGGCAGCTACAGCAAGCCGCTCAAGGAGTTCATCGAGGCGTGCCTCAACAAAGAGCCCAGCTTCGTGAGTAGTCGTCTCGCATTGAGAGAAAAATCTTTTCCAGACTTTGCGGTCCGCCGTCGTCGGCTCACCCCCCCCCCCTCCCTCTCCGCGTCCCCAGAGGCCGACCGCCAAAGAGCTGCTGAAGCATAAGCTGATTGTGCGCCACGCGAAAAAGACGTCCTACCTGACGGAGCTGGTGGACAAGTACAAACGGTGGAAGGCGGAGCAGTCGAGAACCGCAGAGTCCAGTTCGGACGAGTCCGACTCGTACGTTTCAGCCCTCCTCGCTTTCTTTGTATTTACGCCATGCAATGATTTTTTTAAATTATGTACATTTTTAAAAAAAGTCTTCTCTGCTGCTCCACTACCGTTTGTTGTTGTTCTCTTTTCGTCCAATCAGAGAGCAGGACGGCCAGGCGTCGGGCGGGAACGACTTTGGCAGCGACGACTGGATCTTCACCATCCGAGAGAAGGACCCCAAGAAGCTGCAGAACGGGGAGGGGCAGTCGGGGGCGGCAGACCAGGTGAGGGCGTCAAAGATAAAAAGTTACAGTTCATCACTGGGGACAATTCTTTACGACTACCGCTGTCTTTCACAGACAAAAGACATTCCAAAGAGGCCTTATTCACAGAGCCTGGCCACGGTCATCTCTCCGGCACTAGCTGAGGTCAGTCGGTTGGTCTTCCCCGCTCTCCCTTCTCGCCTCACTTGAGTATTTCATTCGGATCGGAACCCACCCTCTACCCCCCCTTCCCCTCTGCCCCCCCTCAGCTGAAGGCACGTCAGGAGCAGGTCAACGGGAACCCCATGGTCCTGGACGAGCTGAGGGAGGCCATCCTGCTGGCCGAGGAGTCTTACCCCGGCATCGCCGACTCCCTGGTGGCTCACATGGTCCAGCGGCTCCAGAGGTAACGCCACACCGTCCCTCATCGGGTCGTCTAGATTGCAAAATGTATTATTCTTTATTTTTTAAACTGCAGAAGACAATGATGTAGCCTCTTATTTCTCCTGCAGTTTCTCCACAAGCCGGGCGTCCGCCTCCTCCTAGTAACCGGCTTTTTGCTCCGGCCCTCATCTCCCGACCCCCCCAAACACCTCAGCCAGGTCAGAGGGTCGAGCCGCTCAACACCAGCCGACCACATTTGACCGTGTGTGGGGGCGCTGACCTACTCTGTAAAAACGACTGATTGCCAAAGTGGAAGCGCACAGCTTCTTTCAGCCACTGACGAGAGGGGAAGTTCAGGTGGGAGTGGAGGGGGGGAGGGCAGCAGCCCACGACAGAATGACTCCAGCCCCACGCCGCCGCCACCAAGTCTCCGGGTGGAATCTGCTTGAAGAATCTCCCTTTGCCCACCACCGCAAAATCCAAGACTTCATTGCCCCCCCCTCTCAACGCAGGCATCATATCCCCAGAACCTCTGAAAAGCAACCTGTAGGGATATTGTGTGTGTGTGTGCGTGCATGTGTGCGTGCGCGTGTGTGTGCGTGCGTGCAAGACTCCGTGTTAAGGCAAATTTGCAGCATTCTTAATGAAACCTCAGGTAAAGTGCTTTAAGTGGACTTTGAGGGGTGTGGCCATGCTGTACATGATTACTGCGGGGGGGGGGGAGGAAAGAAATGGATCACTGTGCACAAAATGGTAAAGTGCATTTTGTAGATATTGACAAGTGTTTAAAAGCGGATCATTAAACCGGAGCTAAACAATAAATGCCTTTCTGAGACGGACACACACACATCTGGCATTTCATCGCAGGTTTTTGGTTCCTCTCAGAGTGAATTCGAGCTCTTGTTCCATCAGTGTTATTTTTTTTTCCTCTGTGACCGAGTTTTGAATCGGCAGACTAACTACGATACTAAGCGTACTTTTGTTTAGAGTCCTCTTCTTGTTTTGTGTAGTCCGGTGAAGAAAATAAAAGACAACCCGTTCTTTGATTTTAAATTGTTTAGGACAATGGAGGTGGAATGACACCGTTTGAGTGGAGCCCAAGACATTTACAAAGGGGAAACGTTAGGGGGGCGGTCGAGCGCCGATATCATGGGAAGTATTATTTTTCCTTGGCAACAAATTTCTCCTTTTGCTTTTTTGTGGCGGTGAAGATCTCCCCCGCAGCCAAACATAGATCGGATTACACACCGCTGACGTCGACGCCATCCCATACTTGTTTTGTTTCTCACTTCCACGCCGTGCTAGAAGTGCCATATCTCTTTTAATGCCCTGCCCAGATATTGATAGTATGATTTGCACCTTCCGTTGTATTTTTTTTTTTCAATCTTTTTTTTTTGCACTTTGAAAGTGTGAAGTATTTTTAAAGCGTGTAAGAGGAAGAACAAAAAAAAACCACACACAAGGAAGTATTGCTAATAGCCATGTTTTAGTATATATGTTTACTTAAGAGTTCCAGAATTTACTACTGTGCTAATGCAGCAATAATGTTGAGGAGTTGCATCAAGACGCACTTGTCAACACAGGGATCGAAAGAAATTAAGAAATATCTGATATTTTTATAACTGCAAAGATGGAAATATGGAATGCTTTATGGATATGAGCGCCTGCATCGGGCAAAAAAAAGTAATTTACTTTACAGAACAACATATGCTACGGAAATAACAAAATGTGTACATTTGGTCTCCTTTATCATAGCTGACAGTTTATAGTACTGTATATAATCTTTGCTTGTGTCATTTGAGGATTCCCAAGTTAAATGTGAGCTCCTTGTAAGCTTTCAAAGTGACATGAGAAATAAAGATCTATTGCTAACTGAGAACCTTTTGTCGCGCATGTCTCATTAACATGTGTAGAGGTGGTGTTTTTAAGACAGCAACATGATACTGTACATACAAATTCAGTGACTGTGCTAATGCTAGTAGTCTAAGAAGTTCACGTTCTTTATTTTAGCCCCATTCTCTTTACTTTTTGGCCCCAATATTTTGCCGTTCTGTAGAAAGTATTTTGAAAATTCTCCCTAATATTAGCATTTCAATTCTCATTTTGATCAATGTTAGCGTTGACCTCATGCGTGATACTGAATAATACGAAGTGAAATCGTACACACAGCTAGAGGATAAGAAAGGATCTTTATTAAAACATTAGTGAGCTATTGTGACGGGGACCAAAAGCAAATGAGTTTGATTTTGGAAAATGAACAGTTTCTGTTCAAATATTACCCAGCAACACAATAAATTGTATATATTTACGAGTGACGAAATATTACAACACTTTGCTTGGAAATTGATACAAATGTTGGAATGTTTTCCAACATTTATATCAAGTGTGAATTACATAAGTGTGTTGCTATACAGTGCAACACAATTTATTATTTTAAAAAAAGGTTAATTTTCAAAGGGAAAAGCATAACTGACTTCTAAAGATCCAGTTTTTTTATAATACGAGTCACCTAAGAAAAGGCTTTGAAGTTTCTAAGTTCTAAGATCTAAGTTTGTGTTCTATCTTCTAACGAGATCCAGATCAGTTAAGAAGGGGTCACCTCAGATCCTGGTCTGTTTCTGTTCCTCGTTGTCGTAGCTGGAGTCAGAACTCCTCCTCTCCTCCTTGTGTTGCTCCACCGAGTCCTTCCTGGAGTTCCTCCTCTTCTCTTTCTGTTCGGGGTCAATCTGGGCGAACTCGGCCTCTATCTTTGCCGGGTCAATGTACGTGTAGAAGTAGGCCATGATGGCAAAGATGACGCACACCACCAGAAGCAGAGAGGCGAAGAGGACGTACTCGGCCCACTGGTGAACAGAAACAAACAGCGTTAATTTGGGGCTAAACTGAAGAAATAGCCAATAGAGAGAAATACACCTTGATTTAAGATTTTGATCCTATCCGTTATATGTTCTATCAAACTGCTGGTGAGGACAATATATGTCTCCTAATGTTTGTGAGCATAACTTTGCAGTGGGAAAAATTTATATTATGAGCATTGTTAGCATTTAGCTTACAGGTTTCTATAATGCTCACAATGCAAACTAAAACAACTCTTTTTACCCTTAACTATTATAATACGCAGCAAAATGTGCTCAAAGTTATAGGAAAATTCTAACATAACTCGATGGTGAACATAGCATGTGCTGAGCTAGGACGGTGAACATGGCCAACCTCCTGCTAAACAGCATGTTAGCATTTAACTCTTATGTTCATTAGTACCGCCTCATGGCGCCGTTAGCATGGCTGTGAAATCTTGTTTTAAGGCCAAAAATGATCACGCTTTTCTCAATTGTAATAACTTAAAGGTTTACTTAGGTGAACATGGCTTCGTATGAAGTCCACAAACCTGGTCTTGCAGTGTCGCAGCCTCTGCGACTATGAGCACAATTATGTTGCCAAAAGCATTCGTTAAGAGCCAACCAGCCTGCAGCACGGACTTCATATTGCTTGGCGCCTGGAGAGCAAAAAGGGAAAAAGAACCAGAGCAAATTAGGAAAAGACGCAGTCCACATCTGTATTTAGTGTCAAAATTCCGTTTAGACAGACATCATCCAGCGGAAATCCCTTACCTGGGAGTAGGAGAACTCCAGGCCAGTGACGGAGAACACCACCTCCCCTAAGGTGAGGAGGAAGTACTGTGGAATCTGCCAGGCCATGTGAAAGCTGTTCTGCTCCATGTCCAACACGGGTCGGATGCTCTGCTCGCACTATAAGACAAGATGTGTTACCTCGACCCCATACAGAAGGTTACATTCAAGCTAAATAAATATATTCACGAGTTACATTCGATCCAAATGCGAAAGTCGGCGGTATGATCAGGGTGAAAGAGCTGCCGAAGCCCAGTTCCTGAGTGTAGACACACTCTTCAGCAGCGCTCTTGATCTTGAACTGAGCTCTGAGGTGAAGAGAAAAACACAGGTGAGAACAAAGACCCGTCTGGTACTGTGCGGCTGTTTGTGGCATAAACATGAAGAAAAAAAGTCTTACGATCCCTTTGGTACGCTGACGTAGACGGACATGTTGTTGGCGCTGACGTCCCCAAAGTCCAAGTTACCAATCGTTACGTTCAGATCTGAGTCCAAGCCGTTGAAAAATCTGGCGGGAGGACATTTCTCAATATCTTTTTTTATGGAGGGAAGTAAAAGACTTTCTGGTTGGAGAGAGATAAAGATTTCTTGATAATGTAATACAGATTTATCGTAATTGTCTACATTAGCTGGTCTGAAGTAATCATGAACGCTTCTTGTCTTGATGAAAATAATGGTTCGCCAATTGCAGGGAGACAAAAGAGAAACGTGATCAAACCTTCTGCAGTAAAAAAGTTGTTCCAATCGGTTATTAACCATTTGAGACTTACCTGATATCATTAGCACCCTGTTCCGGTTTTGCGTTTATGTCCGTGAACTAGAGAAAGAAAGAGACTTTATACCCTCAGCATATTTGTCCGTTAAGTTGAATTCAATATCATGGATGAAGGAACCATTAAGTCCAATTGAAATCACATTTAGTTGTCAAAATACATTTTGACGTACAATTTTATCACAATTCGACAGCAGCTAGGAAGCCAGAGTGGTTTCAAATAGCTATTTTATGTTTTGATAAGCAGTTCCAAGTTTGTAAAATACCCGGATCCACGTGTACTGACCAAGAAACAAGCAGAAAAAATACATAACAGAAATTACATTTAGTTGTCAAAATACATTTTGACGTACAATTTTATCACAATGTGCCCTGGTCATGGTGTAGCTTGGCTGGGTATCCAAAACGAGGAATGAAGTCGTTGAAAATTCTTTCTGCAGCTGTTCTTCCAGACTTATTTCTCGTTGGATAAGCTTGGGCAAATCTGGTGAAATGGTCTATTACAACCAAGATGTATTCATAACCACCCTTGCTTCTCTCTAAATGGAGGTAGTCAATGGAGACCAGTTCCAGTGGTGAAGTGCTGGTGATACTTCACATTGGTGCTCTGATGTGAACGACAGGTTTCTTCTTTTTGATACAGGGACATCTTCTGGTCACATGAGCTTCAATGTCTCTTTTCATAAAGGGCCAATAGAACCTATCTCTCGCCAAAGTAAGAACGCGCTCAGTTCCTACGTGACCCATGTCATCATGGAGGTGCTTAAGAGCCACTGTGTGGTATTTTGTGGGGAGGACGAGTTGTTGTCGCTGCTTTGTCTGCCTGTACAGCAGTTGGTTCTTGACGTGGAGTTTCCCCCATTCATGCATGAGTTTTTGCAGCGTACCTGAAGCTCCTCGCCGATTTTCATTTGACAAGACTCTCTTTGTTTCCTTCAGTCTTATTAGTGCCCCAATTGATGGGTCTTCCTTGGACAATTCTTCGGTGCATTCCACCACATACCTGTCCAGTGGTAGACGGGAGAGGGTGTCAGCGTCAACATTGCTCTTCCCTGGTCGGTACCTGATATCAAATTGAAAGTCTGCAAGTTCACCTACCCATCGGTGACCAACAGCGTTCAGTTTGACTGTGCCCATGACATATGTTAGTGGGTTATTGTCTGTGTAGATGGTGAAGTGGGGTGCATAAAACAAATAGTCCCTGAATTTCTCACAAACAGCCCATTTCAAGGCGAGGAACTCTGTATGTGTGTACTACGTGTGTCACTGTCGGCTGTTGCCACTTCATTTACGCTTGATCCTGAATAGTTATTAGCAGTAGCTCTGTCAGTGGACAATGAATGCATTGTGGTTGGGATGTTAGTCTTTCCCTCGACATTTAACTGTCAACAAGTCTCTGGACTCTTGCTTTGGTCCTCAATGATCTCATCTACTTTATCTTTCAGGTCTAATAGCCATGAAATCCCCTCATCTTCTAACATCAACAATGAGTTGCTAGACATATAAGCAGACAAATATTCAAAACAACTCGTCATTTTTGTCCAACTTATCTGTTTCAAGCTCATCAACTGGTCCGATGCTTTGAGTGAGCTGGAAGATCTCTTCGGTTGTCAGGCTGTGTAGTCCTTTCTTTATTGTCCAAACAAAACTCTTTCTCTCGTTGTCAAACATGCCGCACGTTGTTGGGACTGTCGAGTTGCACTCTCTCGGCTTGGATTCCACTAGACTGGTTCTCTCACCCTGGCAGTCGCTCACTCGCAGTGCCCCTCGCTCCAGCAACGTGTCATCACTCTGGTCCACGGTTCATGGATTACTGGATCAGCAGTTGTCGGACCCCCGTAGTACTGCTGATCCCGGACCAGCCCCCGAAGATCTGTTACAGGTCTCAGGATAAGAGAGCCTGATGACAGACTTGTGCCTGAGAAAAATAGTAATTAATGACACAGGCAGACGTATGGCTTCTTCTGTCAGCGTCTTCTCAAGCAATTGACAATTTATTTCACAATTTAAGTGAAAGCAAGCATATCCAGTATATGTTCTGCACTATATGCAGAACAGCGCTGCTAGGATCCTGTTGAGGGTGCGCAAACATGAGCACATCACCCCCATCCTCAAATCACTCCTGTCTCACTCAGGGTTGAGTACAAGGTCTCCCTCCTTACCCACCAGTGCATCCATGGTGAAGCCTCCCCCTACCTCAAGGAACTCCTCACCCCACAGACCTCAACACATACCCTCCGATCTGCCTCAGCACATCTTTTAAAACCTCCCAGGACAAAGCTCCGTACAAAGGGAGATCGGGCTTTCTGCTCAGCTGCGCCCAGTCTGTGGAATGCTCTCCCTGACCACCTGAGGACACCACAGACTGTGGATGCTTTTAAACGTGGCCTAAAAACCCACCTTTTTAAGAGAGCTTTTTAGTGAACTAGTTTATGTTTATGTTTTCAAACTGTGTGTTTTTATTGTTAGCACTTAACTGTTTTATCATGTAGCACTTTGGGATTTTCGTCGACGCACTCGTTTCAATTCATGCTTCTAAAAGTCTTGCGTGTGTTGCAGAGCAATTCACCTCCAGAACAACAGGCGGAGTAACGTGTTTTTGTTGAAGACGACCTAGAGAGTCACATCTATTTATTTATTTGTTTGTTTATTTTATCATAGACTTTATTGCCCCGTGCATCGCCACTGCTGCTTTTCATTGCGGACACATTTGTCCCGTATTTTCCTCCACAACTTTGTGCACCTCTCAACCGGCAAACCGGCGCTTGCAGTGATCTCCCTCCGTGAATCCAACCCGCTTCTACAACCCGCCAATGACGGCTTGTATAAGCGGTCATATTTACGCATTTCTTCGCAAGTTCTTTAATCTGATCCGTTCTCTCGTAAACATCCTTCGTTTTAATAATGGCGGTATCGGGCTATGAAAGCGGAAATGTGAGACTCCGTAAAGGACGTAGTTAGCGGACCAATCGCAGCCTGGTGCGCTGCGGGAGGCTTGCGTTGCTTTGCTTTCGACGCAAGCCTAGAAAAATGGCTCGACACACGCAAGGAGGTGTGAAAAGCGACGCAAGGGACACGCAAGGGGGGCTTGCGTCTGCGTCGCTCTGAAAACGCAGAAGCATAAACTAGGCTTAAGAGATACCTGGGCATTAAGTCTGTGCCATCTTGGCATTAGGATGATGTTAAGTTTAATAAAACACAACAAATGGAATATGCGTTTCCCTGATTTCTTAGAGTATATTATGCTCATGCTGAAACTATGTTTGGGATTGATTTTCATATCATTTCCGGTTGTTGGTGTGTCGTGAGATTTTTAGTGTGTCTCAAGTGTGCCTTGACGCAAAAAAGGTTGAAAAACACTGCCTTAGACGACTAGTCGAACAGACGTGTCTCCCTGCGTCATGTGACTCACAACAACTGCCGGCTGCTCTTTCCTCTACGTCGGCTCGGCGCCTTTATTTTTATTTTTGCTCCGCGCGCATCTCCGCAACTCATTGAGTGACGAATTGATAATGAAATTCGTTGCCAACGCTTTTAATAATCGATTTTAATCGATTTTATCGATTCGTTGTTGCAGCCCTACAAACAATACAAATTCACAGACCAAACCATAGAGTATTGCATTACTATCATGGATTAAATCCATACTCTTTCACAACATAACCGTGACTTTGTCAAAGTGCACTCGGTAATTCGGTAGTTCGGTAAAGTTAGCAAGATATTCAAAGATTCAGACTTCACGGTTCAATAGCTCGTCAGCGAAATGTTGTTGAAACACAAACGACACCTTTCTGTAACCGTAGTGATGTTAACAACCAGCTACAACCATAATTATCCATAATTTGACCAATATGGACCAGTGCAGGGTCTGTACAAATCACATTGATCTTAATGAGTGGCTGCCCGTGAAACAAGTGAGCCGCCTGTGAGACGAGTGTTACTCAGAAGACTCACCTTTTTTAACCCTTGCCTGACCATTTGCTCTCTTGTGCCGTACAAAATGATACCCAGGGTGTAGTGATTCATGAGGTGTAGTCGGCCAGAAGTATCCTTAGATTTGAGGATGGCTCCAATGAAACATTCAATTACCTTTTGAAGGAATTGTTACAAAAATATCATACAGAAATGTTTGGTAAAGTTATACATACTTCACACTTTGGGTTTGTCTGACATCACACTGCAGACCATCTGGTCAGGCTGACAATCTACCTAAATATCTGTTTAGCAATAGAACTTATGGCATTTTAAGATATTTTAAAAGGCTTAAAGCTTTAACAGATACATTCATTGGATATAGATTATCCGGTGCAACAATTTTAATAAAAAACCAGCCTCGCCTACTATGAGTTCATCTGGCCTCAAACTTTGAAATTCACTGTGACGCAGAGTGAAATTCAGCTTCTGTTCAGCATGTCTTATAACAGCCACAACCACCTCAGAAGCAATTTCTATTCAAAGTAAAAGGTGTAGTACAATGGGTAAAAGCACATTGACATATGACACGATTTTGGTGGTTCTACAGTCCATAACAGGGGAGTTATTGAACGTTATTTGCAATAAATGTTGAATATTATTCATAAAAAATAGTCTGAAGCCATTTCTATACAAAGTAAAAGGTGTAGTACAATGGGTAAAAGCACATTGATATATGACATGATTTTGGTGGTTCTACAGTCCATAACAGGGGAGTTATTGAACGTTATTTGCAATAAATGTTGAATATTATTCATAAAAAATAGTCTGAAGCCATTTCTATACAAAGTAAAAGGTGTAGTACAATGGGTACACGATCATAGACATATGCTATGAATTCGGTGGTTCTAGAGTCAATAACAGTGGAGTTATTGAATGTTATTGGCCAAAAATATTGAATAATATTCATAAAAAATATTCAGATGCAATTTTAAAACAAAGTACAGGGTGTAGTACAACAAGAACACGCGCGTGGACATATGACATGATTTTGGGGATGCTGCTGTTCACAACAGTGGAGGTATTGAATATGTCTGCAATATTCTTTTTACGCATTTTAAATGGCAGACGGTCCCTGCGCACTGTGCACATTCAGACCAAAATGATTCGTCCAGCTCGCTGAGCGGTCTGTTTTGGTGAAATTGTTGTTAATAACGGTTGTAGTTGGTTGTCAATATCACTACGGTTACAGAGAGGTGTCGTTTGTGTTTTAACAACGTTTCGCTGACGAGCTATTGAACCGTGAAGTCTGAATCTGCGAACATGCTAACTTTACCGAACTCACACAGCTACTGTGGCGTACGGGAAGGACACCATTGAAGATGGCGGCGCTGCTTCTGCTAAAGCTAACACACGCTAATAGACATTTTTAAACACATATTGCAGTCAACTGAATTAACATATCAAATCTAAGTCGACCTAACATCACAGCAAATAACATAACGAATTGATTATACTTTTCCTTTATAATTAGATTAATGTATAGGAGCCAGATAGAACAAGGAGTTTAGACAGGGCTACTAGCATTCTAGCTAGCGCTCAAGCAGTTAGCAATGTAACATTAGCTACCAAACAAAACCCAGTAATCCCTAAAAATATTAGGCAGTTAAATCCGATCATCTAAAAATGTTTATTAACATTTTCTTAATGCACTTGACCAGTTACTGACCTGAGAAAAATAGAAATTAGTGACACAGGCAGACATGTGGCTTCTTCTGTCAGCGTCTTCTCAAGCAATGAGACGCTGCACGCGCAAATTCAGAGTCACGGGCGGCGAGGCGAAACCACAGCGCTGCACTGCCACCTACTGGGCATAGATAGCACCACACACCATGAAGACATGTTCTTCATTCCAAATTAATACAAATTAAATACAAATGTGACCATACATTTTGTGTCCGTCACACTAATACTAAAGGTTTCCATAGGTGATGTAACAATACACTAATGTTTTTGCGGGGACGTGGGAGGGAAGAACCGCCAGGTCAGCAAGTGAGCGCAGTCCAGCGTCCATAGTCCAACGTCTCAGCCAATAACTTATTTGCTAAATGTAAGCTAATGTTATGTTAGCTAACAGTTAGATAATGTTAGTTAACATTTAGCCATCAAAAAGGACCAATTTACGTTGAAACAGAACAAGTCGATGTCCTTCATTGCTTGGAAATTAGCAACGATGTGTTAGTGTGTGTTTCATTTTCATTTCTTATCTGGAAAGAACACTTACTAATGAAAAATGTGAAAAATTGATTTCTCTTGGTACTATTTACATAACTGTCAAACCAGAACATAGCGTTAACCTTTGATGTATGCAGTCATATTTCTATTTTTTGCCACATTTTGATTTTGATCATTTCTTTGAGAAACAATCCATCAATTTACAGCATGAATTTAACATTTAAGGCCTTATTTTCAAGTTACCCATTATATATATAGTATGTCAGCCATACGTAATGAGTCACTCAGTCATTTGTTAAATTTGTTTAAAATAATTCACCTTCTTTGTCTTTACACTTTACAGCGAGACTTTACTGACACTTGGGATTCTATGGTTGTTGCTTCACAGATAAGGTACGGCTTTGAGTTTTATCTGAAACAACTAAAAGGCGCTTCAGAAAATGAGAATGTGTTTAAGGTGTGAGGTACCATGTGCTCTTTCAAACTAACAAAAGGAAACTGTCATGGTGAGGTATCATGTGGAGGGCGCGTGGCTCCAGACTGAGCATCAGCTGAAGAATGTATGCGCGGTTACAGCAGTGTCCATTAAAAACTCTACCAACACTCTCTCTTATATACAATTTTACATGAATGAAAATTTGGTATTATTTCATTTAATTTTGCTCTGTGCCACTAGGGGGCTGTATGTGCTTTGTGGCTCCGCTGACCTCGGATCAGCCCAGGTAGGCCATTTAACCTGCAGGAATCTCAGGCACAGGGG